TACTTTATTTAATAATTTTCTTCCAGTAGTTGCCGATGGTGTTTTAACGGGACGACGTACTGTACTAGCAGCATTCGTTTCTTTAGTCGCAACTTTACGAGGCTAAAAAATATATCACAGATATGTATTTAAATTTAGAAGCAGAAGATATTTAACATACAGTTGCAGCTGGTGTTCGAGATCGAACAGGTGTAAGAGTTGCAAGTTGTGATACTGCTATTGTTTTTGCAGAAGTTGGTAAAGCTGATGCTGGTACTTGATGATGAGCTTCATCAAATTTTTGACGTATAGGTATATTATCAATCATAAATGATGGATCATTATATTCCGATAAAACATTTAAAAATTCTTGTTCAATATGTGGTAATTCTCGATGGAATTTTTTACGTTTACATCCTTCAGTTTCAGCATTATATCCACGTATACGAAACCGAGCTGGATCTGTTGATGCTTTCTAAATAAATAAAAATACTTTAATTAAATTAAATAAGATTAAGAATAATATACAGTAAATGTAACAAAATCATTCCAAAATGTAAGCCATTTTTCATAGGCATCAATAACTGGTTTTCGTTTTTGATAAAGTTGAGCAATACGTTCATATTCAGCATCATATGCATCAAGTAAATCTGCTGATAAAGTTTCTATTCAAATAAAAAAACTGAATAAATAAACAACAATCAATTTTTTTTTATTATACCATTATCAAGTTGATTGAGAATAATTCGTTCATTATCACTTAAATGTGATTGATTACATAAATCAATAATTTGTTGTCGAATTGAATTTCGATATTCATTACCATTTTTCATTCGTTCTTCATGACAACATGCTATTTCATGTTCAAGCTAAAGATAAAATCAAATGAATATAATTGAAAAACATCTATGTTTTTCTATTTACTTGTTTAATAATAAAGGCAGTAATATTTTCACTACCAGTTTTATATGCCAAACAATAATCTTCTTCGGGATTTTTATTTAAACGTTCATAAAGATGTTTTAATTGATTATGTAATGTAAAAAAATGAGTTCGTTGTTTTTCAATTTGTATTTCCAACTAAATAGAATATTTCAGAAGAGAAAAATAAATCAGAAAATTTTTACATCATGTATTGTATTTTCAATTTCATTTAAACAGTTGGCTGTAAGACATAAATCGAATTTTTTCGAAAGAAGATATTCGACAGTAGATAATTGTAATGGTATCCATTCTAATTGTTCGGAGTATTGTTTTAATGTATGATAATAGGATGAAACTTGACTAAGACGAAGATTCTAAAATGAATATGATTAAGAAGAAATTAGTTTTTTGTTTTTGACAAACTTTTAAATCATTCAGCATTTTAATATGATCTTCAATTTTTTGATTGATTTCCACAAGAGATATTGTAATATCTAAAATAAGGATTTTTAGTTTTGAAACAAAAAAATGAAATAATAACTGACTTTCATCGAATTCAATGGGTGAACTATTAAGTAATGTACATAATTGTTTTTGTTGATTTTCAAGTTCATTTCGTTGATGTATTAATTGACCTTCATGAATTAATAATTCTTGCATTTGTTTTTCGATATAAATTTCTTGTTCTCGTAATTTTAATTCATCGAATTTTGATTGAGTACAAACATCAATTGAAGATGGAAGACCTGTACGTAGAATTAAATCTTCATAATCTTCAACTGATTGTTTAACTAATTTTTTTCGTTTATTTATTTGTTCTTTATAAATTACTATTTTATTTTCGAGTAATTTCTAAATAAATAAGAATAAAATTTTTTCAGAATACATTTGAATTATCAAATTTACTCGTGTATATTCTTCTACTTTTGTTGCACGAGATGACCATTGATGTTCAGTAAAACCAAATGAAGACCATAAACGATACCATTCTGCACATATTGTTTCATGATCAAGTGCAAAATTTTCTTTGTTATTCATAATAGAATGTAACTCACTAAATACATATGAAGTAGAAGAATGTAAACTTTGAAAAATAATACATACGATTGAGTTTTTGTAATTCGGGAAGCAGATTTCTTTTTTGGATGCGGCATTTTATTGAAAATCAAATAGAACAAAAACACAGCAAATGATTGACATCGAAAAATCGTTGTGCGGTCTTTCTTATAATTAACCAATTATATTCTCACAATTGAACTATCGATTAACGACATCTACACAAAAGTTTATCCTTTTATTTGATCATACGAAAAAAAAACGACAATCAATACAGACAAAACATAAAAATTATAAACAAAATAATAGTAAAGTATCTTATATTTCTTGTTTGAAAATTATTTGATCTATGCACTGATCTCGACACATCTTATAGAGATCTTGTAATGCTTCAACTGAACAGTACTTTCTCAAAGATGCACATCGTTTTTCGCAACCAGTTAATATTTTAACATTTGCAAGGCCTACTGGCGTCTTTTTTGTTTGTACTGAGGGATTATCGTGTTTGGGTTGAACAAGATGATGTAGTTGATGAAGTACTTGTTTTCTTTCGTGAAGATCTATTCCCAAATTGTTGGCATTGTCGTCTCCCTGATAACCATGAATGAAAACAATTGCAAGAAGAATAATGATAATTCGCATAGTAACTTTGCTTAAGCAAAACTTAATGTGAATACACGAACAGCTGTCAACGTTAAAAGGACACGTATATATATATATATACTCAACCAAGCATAGAAATTTTGAATCATCAGAGCATGACATATCAATATCAGACAGTGTGGTATATCATTCATGACAAATTTTTTCTTACAAGCAAATAAAAAAAAACATGATGATTGTAGATGAATTGATATGTACTGTGGTTAAATTAATTGTCAAAGAAAGAAATGACTTCATTAATTAATAAAAGAAATAGAAAACACAGAATTTAAAAGAAGGAGTAAAAAAAACACTACACTAAAAATTAGGCAAAAAAATGTTGAGAAAATACTAATAATTAAGAGATTATTGATTGTAATTCATCTGACACTGTTGTAGATTTCGATAGATTTCTTATTGTTGCTTGTAAATCAATTCTTTCTTGTTGTAAAGCTCGACTTAATTTATCAAGTTTATCAAGTTTAATTTCTAATTGTCGTTTTTCTTTTTCTAAAAGTTTATACTAAAAAGAAAGATTTTTAATTGAACAAATATTTTTTTTCTCATACATCTTCAATTGATTTCTTTTGATTTTGTTCTGCAATTTCCCATCGATGTCGAAAATCACCTCGTTCTTTTTCTAATATTTTTATTTTTTTTCCCATTTTTTCTATTTCAGTATGACATGATGTTACCATTTGACTACTTTGTTGAATAGCATTTTGAAATTCATGATAACGTTCAGCATACATTTGTACTTGTGAACGAAGACTTAATTCTGATGCTGATAGTTCTTCACATTTTTTATATAAAACCAAACGTTCAGCGTCACTCTTTTATCGAAAAAAAGAAATCAAATGAAATATTTCCAATTTTGTAATACTTACAACTTGTCGTTCTTGTTTAACTAATTCATTACGTTCATCAAGTAGCGTATGACTTTTTTCTAAACTTGATTCAGTTAAACGTAATTCAAGTTCTTTTTTCTTTAATGCTAATTCATTTTCCTAAATTTATTTTATATAAATTAGTCAATATAAAAAGAAAAATTAATATGTTACTTTTTCACGTAATTCATAATCTTTAACAAGAGATGCTAATTGTTCAGATAATTCAGTATTTTGTTCACGTAATGAAGTTGATTTTTCACTATAATTAGTTAATTGTGATGCTATTTCATCAATCGTTGTCTAAATAAAACGCAATAATAAAAGATTTTCAATGGAATAAAAATCAACTCATACTTGAAATTTTGTTGCTAATTCTCGACGTTTTGTTTCATCTTCACGTTGTCGTTGAGTACCATCGTCCTGAGACAAAAAAATTGAATGATTAGAATAAATAGAGATTTTAATTTACACGTATTTGTTGATTATGTCGATGAAGTTCACGACAGAGACTTTCTAATTTTGTTTTAGCTCCGTTTACACGACTATTTTCAAGTAAGATTTGATCACGTTCACGTAGCAAAGTTGTTGTTCGTTTTTCTAATTCATTATTTTTGACTTGAATCAATCGATGTTGTTCTTGTAATTCAACTATTTTTGTTGCTAATGTTAAAAGATTTTTTTGTGGATCTGGATCAGTTAAATTTTTAATCATATTCTCTAATATATAAATAAATTTTAAAAAAATATACAAATATCACAAACACAATTTCAATATACTAGCAGTTTTAGTAATATTTCGACGTGAATCAGATTCATTACTATTATTTGGTTTGTTTTCTTTTGACACTGCAGCTAAAGTTTCTAATTTTTTAACAAGTTTAGCACCAATTGCTGTTTGTCCAGTTGTACGAGTTGTTGTAGTTGCATCTTCACATGAAGGTGACAGATTAATTGAATCAATTATTTGTGAAAGTTGATCATCGGATGATATTTGATTTGATTCAAATAAAAGATTATTATCATTCATAGTATTATTAGTTTTTTAACACGAGAAAAGATGTCTGAAATGAAGAAAAAGGAAGATATAAGTATGTATATCTACATATTGCCTTTTATTCTTTTCTTTCTATATATATTGTATTGGATAATAAGGAATATCCCAAAATAGAACGGAAGAAAAGTCATGGTTACATTTCTTTTTCTCTTCCTTCTATGTCCGATGTCCAGTCATTTCTACTATATAAATTGATTGTTCTAATGAAATAAAAGAGGCCGCAGTTTTAAAGTATATTAGAAATAACTTAATTGAGATTGTAATTAAGGTAATTCTTACAATGAGATAATTCAAAATGAAAACACATCTTATAACTCAGCGACCTCTTTTGTTAAATTTTTTGCTTTTAGGCTAAAAAATATGTTATGTTGAGCTCGTGAACGAAAAACTAGAAAATAAATAGTTCAAGCATAAAATGGAAATATCGAAATGAAACTGATTTTTTTTCTCCATTTCAAGATAATTCAAACGAAAAGAACTAGATGTTATTCGATTTTTACTCGACTACGAAATCATGATTTCAAGGTTTTCATAATTATCCTAAAATGTAGTCAAATCCATATAGGGTGTGAGTGTAGGTCAGTGGATGATTTATTCATCTCTCACCCATACACAGCCACACCTATCACTACATGAGAACGATGAATGTCTACGAATCATTTCTTGAAATTCATAATCTGAATTTTTCAGTCATTGACAATGACTATATGGTCTGTAAGTTTGATAAAATCTTATAGAACGAGTGTCGACGTGAGTAACAATGAAACGAGAAATCACATAGTCACATGTTTGAGATGATTGTGTATTATAGAATAGTCTGTTGTAGAAAACGCGTGTGCTATCGAATGACACATAATCAAGAATATTTATGTCATTGATTATTTTTCTTGTAAACCAAATATTCTGAAACAGAATTTTAATGAAATAAAATTTACAGAATTGAAAATTAGATAAGAAATCTTTCATAGAACAAACATATTTTAATATTGTTTTGTGTTTATCTCAATAAAACTAATCAGTTTATTAAATATTCTTATAATTTTATTCATATATGATATGTTATCTGATAACATACTGAATTTTTGAGTTAAATAAACAGAAATTCGGATAATTATGAAAAAAAATAAACTTGTATAACATTCAATTTATTTTGAGATTTTACAGAATTTTCTTAGATTATTATTTGGTAGAATAAATCAATTCTACTTCAATAGTTTAATTCTTCATCATAATAAAATATTTTAACTTTACCGATTGAATTTTTACCGAACGATAGAAAATATTGTTGTTTTTAACTTCAAGAAAGTATTCAATATTTCACAATTTCAGTTTCATATGTATCTGACAGTCTCATTTTGATGTTTTCTTCTTTGTTCTCTTATACACGTCAATATAGAACAAAAGAAATGATTGGGTGTGTGTGGGTGTGAGTGTGGGTGAGGGTGTGAGTGTCCATAAGGATTTATGGAACAATATCTTCTGAGGGGAAAAAGCGCTTTCTAGACACCGCGAGGATCCACAGGATCCGAGGAATCGAGAACTGCTTTTTCTCCTTTAATTTTTACGTTTTTTTCTCGGAAAAAAAATATTTTTTGTTTGTGTTGTTAAACTTTTTTCCAGGAAAAAACCTGTCCATCCTCATGATTACATTCTCCTTGTTGGAAGAATTAATTTCACTCATTCTTGCATTCTCAGTCTCACAGACTCTTTCCCGGAAAAAACTTGTTCACTATCGTATTTATATTCTTCTTGTTAGAAATTTTTTTGTACTCATCTCTGCATTCTCCTTCCAGAAAAAAAACTTATTTATCCCTATCCTCACAGATTCTTTCCCGGAAAAGAAATTTGTTTTTCATCATATATGCATTGTACCTCGAAAAAGTTTGTTTTTTGTTTGAGTTGTTACACTTTTTTCCCAGAAAAAACTTGTCCATCATTGTAATAATATTCTCCTCGTTTAAAGAATTCTTTTGAACTCATTTCTGCATTCTTTCGACAAAAACAACTTATTTATTCTCATCTAGGGATGTACCGAGCCCGGGCCTCTCGGGCTCGGCGCTCGGGCTGGGGTGTAAGAGTGAGTGTGAGGTAAGAGTGTGAATGTGAGTGTGGGTGAAAATGTGAGTGAGAGTGAAAAGGACAGTACCCATACTCATCCTGACACTCGAGCCCCGATCGACCCCGAGCCTGATCAGCTTGGTACATCCCTATTCGCATTCTCAGACTCTTTTTCGGAAAATAAAACTTGTGTATCTGCATTCATGCGTTCTGCCTCGTGAAAATTTAGATGTGGTTGTTTGCGTTATATTCATATTGTACCCACATCCTCAATTATTAAATAGTCGATTTATTGACAATATTGATGTGTATATGCTTAATGTAAAACAGAAAAAATCAAATATATTAAATAGAAAATTATAAAAGATCTATAAGAAATTCTTTCTGTCAAAAGAAATAATTCAATCAATGTATTCATTGATAAAATATTCGTATAATCATGATTAATTAAATAATTATTTGATATTATTAATTAATTCTTGCATATGCTTATTATTAACATTAGAATATTTTGGAATTTTCTTTTCAATCTTATTAATAAATAAACAAAAATAATATTCAACTTGTTTGATATCTGAACAATTTAACATTAATTTACATGCAAGTCCTTTTCGAATTTTAACAACAGATGTAAATACGAATGGATTATTATATAATTGAACAAGTGTTGCTATAGCCATTAATTGTGGGATTGCACAAGATTCAAAAATTTTTGGATGTTTTATAAGACGAAGATATTGTATAACATCAGATAAATGAGAAAATGAATCCATAACCATATGATGTAAACATTCAAGATTTTATTGTCCAGTTGGATCTTTATGAAATTGAGAAAGATCGGATGCATAATTTATCCAAATTTCTTTTGGCCACCATGTTCTTCCAGCTTGAAGATCTTCAAGATAATCTCGAATAATATTTGTTTT